AAATGAAGGAGAGAAAGGGATATAAATTGAAAAGGAGGAAGTCAAAGTATCCTTATTTACACATACATGATTCTATACATAAAACACCCTAAATACCATACCAGAAAATTCTTCCATCTGACAAATACATTCAGCAAAGTAGCAGGATATAAACTAACACGCCCAAATCTGTAGCCTTTTCATATACCCACAACAAACACACTGAGAAAAATTCTGTGAAATGATCCCATTCATTATAGCCTCAAAACCCATAAAATATCCTAGAATAAAAGTAACAAAGGAAGTGAAAGACTCATACCATAAAAGCTTTAATAAATTGAAGAAATAAGTAGAGAAGATACCAGAAGATGGAAAGACCTCTGATGCTCATGGATTGATAGGGTTGGTATTCTGAAAAAGGCCATCCTACCAAAAACAGTCTACAAATTCAATGCAATACCCATTAAAATTCCAATGCAATTCTTCACAGAAATTGAAAAAATGATCTCAAATTTCATTTAGAAAAATAAAAGAGAGAGAACTGTCCCAAACAATAAAAGAATGACTGGAGTCATTACCGTCCTTGATCTTAAATTATACTACAGAGCTATAGTAATAAACACATTACTGGCATAAAACACACATTGATCAGTGTAATAGAATTGAGGATCCAGATTTAAATCCATACATTTCCAGCTACCTGACTTTTTCTTAAACACGACACAAAAAAACACTGGAGGAAAGATAGCACGTCAATATGCATAAAACTCAACTCCAAATTGATCAAGACCCTAAACATAAGACCTGATACCCTGAATCAGATAGAGGAGAAAGTAGGGAATACATTGGAACTTACAGGCACAGGAAAGGACTTTCTGAATAGGACTCCTATAGCACAAGCATTCAGTCCCACACTGTTGTTGGGAGTGAAAAGAGATGCAGTCACTATGGAATTCAGTGTTGAGATTCCTCAAAAAGCCACAAATTGAGCTACCATTTGATCCATACCACTGTTGGGCATATACCAAAAACTTTATACCTTATTACAGAAATATCTGTTCATCCATGTTCATTGCTGCCCTTTTCATAATATCCAGGAAGTGGAAATAACCTACACGTCAATCAACTGATAAATGGACAATAAAGGTGTGGTACATGTACCCATGGACTATTATTCAGCTCTTTGGAAAAATGAAATTAGGAAATTCCCAAGTAAATGAATGGAACTGGAAACAATCATCTTGAGTGAGGTAATGTAGACTCAGAAAGACAAATGTTGCATGTTCTCTTACAGTTAATTGCTAATGTTAAAATCTTAGATATACATGGGTCAATTTCAAAATCCAGAGAAGTCAAAATCTAATAAACAGGCAGACTTCCTGAGAGTGCCTGAGAGTGAGATCCCCAAATCACACCTTGCCTATCCTCTGCTTTAGGACCATCCACAATGATTACCAAATCTTCTTGACTTTACATTCAAAATGTATCTTACATAATACAACTTCTTTCATCTACTTGCTAATATTTCCCACCTAGTCCACAGTAATTGTATTTTGCCAACATCTGCTTATTTGGCTTCTGTGCTTGATAGCTTTTGTTATTAACTTGACGTCTCTGGGAAGAGAGAACCTCAAGTGAGGAATTGCTTCTGTTGGATTTTTTCGTGGCCATGCGTACAAGGCATTTCCTCCATTTTTGAGAGATGTGGGAAGGTCCAGGCCACTGTGGGTAGTGCCACCCCTGGGCAAATCATCTTGTATTGTATAAGAAAGCAGGCTGAGAATGGGCCAGAGAAGCAAGTCAATAAGCAACATACTTCCATGATCTGTGTTCTATATTCCTGCCCTGAGTTCTTGCCTTGGCTCTCCTTGATAGACTGTGAGCTGTAAGCCAAATAAATCCACTCCTCCTCTAGCTGGTTTTGATCAGTTTTTTAGTGCAGCAATGGAGAGCAAACTAAGACAGCTTCCCGAGCACATTTGTCACACCCTGACAGCCAGATTTTGTACCATCAAATTCCTCATGATTCAAAATGCACAAAAAGATATCCATGTTGGATTAGCTCCCCAGATCTTCCCTGTGTTCCCTCAAGTCTGGCACGTGATGCACATTGTTTAAAATGTCTGGTTGCTTGATTTCAACTCAGTCTCGGATCCCAACCTATATACCACTTACTTCAGATGCTTCCCTTTACTTTCCAGCCAATCTAGTCTAGATTTCGATGCCACTTTCTCATTCCACTTTCTCTCCTCCCTTTATTACACTTGTCAGAATTTGGAAGTTTTCATTTTATTAAACCAAATAAACCATGCCAAAAAAGACAGAAACCAAATACTTCATCTGTGGAAATGAAAAACGATGATCTCATGGAAGGAGAGGGGGACAGTGTGACTAGAAGCTGGAAAGTGTGGATGAGCGTGAGAATGGAGAAAGTAGAAAACAAATACCAAAATTCAGACAGGAGAAATTTTCTCTGGTGTTCGGAGGAATTAGCTCTAGTGTTATAGTTAACAATACTCAACAACAGCCGATAATACGTTCAAAATAATTACAACAGTCCAAAGCTCCCAACATGTAGAAATGATAATGTAGAGAAGATAAAATACTAACGGTCTTGATTTGATCACACCGGTTTATACATGCATGAAATTATCATACTTTACTCCATAAATGTATAAATTAGTATGTATTGTGAAAAAATTATAAAATAAAAACAGAATATCTTGGGCTGGACAATGACTCAGTGGGCAAAGTACTTACCATGCAATCATGAGGTCCTGAGCTTGGATCTCCATAACCCAACTGCATTCTAGAGATTAGTCTGCATGAATATATACATTTCTGTTTCATTCACATTCATAATGCTGCTTCATTCAGATTTACATAGTTTGTTCAATTCTTGTTCATTTGGTTATAAGCTTTTCTAATACAGTTTGATAGCCTTGGGGAAATGTTATTTTGTTTGTACAGTAAAATATATATGTTACCTAGCATATATATCCTACATAGGATGGCCAAACCAAAATGCCACTCCTAATATTAGTATATATTTCTAGAGCTTCCTTAAAATTTCTGCAGTTTTTAGTCATTAACAATAATATCAGAGTATCCATCTCCCAAGAGACTTCTTTTTTAAGTATAATCTTAATTTTTACCAGTCTGTTGAGAAAGAGTCTGTATTTCTGTGATCAACTTAAAGCTCCACCAGTAATTTTTCTTTCTCTTGGAACTAGTGGTCTATGGTTCATTTTCTTTTTGATTGTCAATCATTTTCTTATGGTATTTTTCAGGAACTCTTTATACAAGAAGATCAGCCTTGTCAGCACATTATTGTTTCTTTGATTTTGGATTTTTCTATCGACATTTCATAATGCCAGGTAGAATTTGCTTATGTCAGGTTTTCTTACTAAATGTATTCATCCTTGGGAGGGGAATTACTATCAATCTTACAACGATTTTCCTCTGTATAAGAGTACAATGAATTTCTTTCCAATTTTTCTTTTGGAATTTCCATCTTGCTTGTTTCATATAGAGATTATGAATTCATTATGAGCTTATTCTGAGGTCAGTAGATACATAAATCCAAATATCTCTTTGTTCAAGTGACTATGCTTGTGCATCTTAGTGTCAATTGTATTAAAAATGAATTTTTCTGTAAAAAATGCTTATGTCTAAAAAAATACTGATATTAAAACAAATAAGATAAATCTTTTTTTATATACAGTAGACACCGGGACTTTACAGATAAGAATATTCTTTCACACATTTCTAAGAAACATGGGGACCCAAATATTTAGTAAATTACAGTATTTTTAAGAAGAATGATTATTAAATGGAAAAATTCATATGGAACCTAGCTCAAGCCAATCACAACTCAGCATTGGCTATTTAATGAAGTTTTAATGTTCTCTTACTGACACTGGACTTCCTTGGCATTCATTATAACAGTAAGGCATTCTCTCACGACAAAGGAAGAAAATTCAGGTAATTATATGCTCCCAGGTGGAAAGAATTTAGGAATATGAAAGATCTGAGTGTATTTCTTGCAAATGTCAGTAATCTGTATTTTCAAAGTGCAGCATTCCATTCTAAAATTAATACAATCAGATTTTATTTCATTCTTCATTGACAAAGCAGCAGCTTTAACAGCAAAAAAAAATCCCTCTCAAATTCAGTAGTATACAAATATATTGAGAAATCAACCCTTACTAAGATAAAAAGTAACTGAATGTTAAATAGTAACAATAAAATCAATAGTTTTAGTGGCATAAAAAAATAAACCTCCAGATCTTCCTCTATGTAGTAACTGATGCTACATTTTCCTGTCCCTTGTTATTGAACTATTATTGCATGTGTGGCATTTTTAAAAATATATTGAATGAAAATATTTTAATCTTATTCAACACTAGCTATTAAATGAACAATTCTGTGATTTCCACCTTACTATACTAGTCACAATAAAAGTGTGGAACCCAGCCTTTAATCCCAGCATTTAGGAGGCAGAGACAAGCAGATCTCTGTAAGACAGAATCTAACCTGGTCTAGATAGTGAGTTCCAGGCCAGCTGGGGCCACAGGGAGACCTTGCCTCAAAACAAAACAAAACAAAACAAAATTTAAAAAGGAACATGGAACCAGAATCAAAAAGATCTAGAAACTAATCCACTCTTTAACATGCATTCATCATATTGCTGCTAAATGAATTTGTATAGGTCACTCAAGTTCTCTGCTAATTTGTTATACTCAAAAAGTGAAAGAAATTTTCAACAAAATCCCTAATATTTGTTTAGGTATTAACTACATTAAAATCCTACAGTTCTTTGCTCTAAGGACATGACTCTTCTATGGTTAGCTATCTGCCAATTTTAACTGATCATCTTAAGCAGTAGAAATAAAGGGCTATCTCAATTTGGACAACTATGTCAGACTTTGCAAACCTAAACAGGAATATAGGGACTGAAATGCAAGGAATTCTACAACATAGTTTTCTACATTATAGGAATATTCAAATTTATTCCATGTTACAATTATAAACATAACAACATTTCAGCTAACCAATCTGAAATCTTTTTATTTGCCAAAATAAAACAATAAATCTAATTTTGTCCAGGAAGTTATGGACATCTTGTGCCCACTGCCAGGTTGTCATAGTCCAACGATATCTCAAAGACACATCATTGTTAAACAGTGTTAAGTCTGCCACATGCCTAAATAGTAGTGATAAAAGGTAACTCTATTTGATATGACACTGTTGTACAGAGTTCTTAGAATGCACGAGTTTAATTCCACTGGCATGTGCAGTCTGCAGGTTCCTGGAGTGTGTACATAACATCAGTGCCGTTTCCTGAGCAATGCAGAGGTACAGTCAGGTTTCGCACTCCATTTTCACGACAGCACTTGCAGAACCTCAGGTGACTTTCAACGTTGATGTTATATATGGTAGCCGATGGGCATATTCCATCACAAGATGCAATATTAATCTGTAAAGAAAGATTATGAGAAAAATATATTCAAATTCTGCCAACAAAGGAGTCAGATGTGAATAAGGCTTTCTTCTTTAGCAAGTCACTCCCCAATCATCTCTGTGTTAAAGATTGTGGGAAATATTACATTATCACATAATTTATATACACATCAAAAAGTTGTTATGCGGTCATGCCATATCTAGCAGTGCTGACATAAATCAAAGCACGAGTTGTGCAAGCACAATTAAACAGATCTACAGAAAGCAGGGACCCTACCCTAGTCATTCTCTCATCACCTGTGTAATCTGGCTCAGGCACAGCATTGAATCAAGTAGATCATACTGGAAGGAGTAAAGTTCTAACTAGGACTATTTTCGGGAGTAAAATTACATAGGTAAGACAAAATGCAGTCAAATATATTTAACTTCCATATCCGTCTCTCTAGATTGTAATTATCATTGAGAACTGTGGATTATTTATGTGAAGAATAATTCATAGTTCTTCAAAAACAGAATATTTTAATATTAGAGTGTAGGAACACTATCAATTTAAATACTGAATGTTAGCAATTTCGTGGCATATTAGTTTGTAAGTGTAATATATGCAGATGTATAGATTTCTGGAAATACAAACATTCTTTATGTAACCAGGCATACATTTCTACTTACAGAGCTCTGACTTATACAGTCCTGTTTTCTTATGATTGATTTAATGATCACTTTCTGACACATTCTTTCTTCTCGTTTGCCTGAAATAATAGTGTATTTTTTCACCAGTGAGCTCATGTAAAACTCTATCTTAAATTGTATGCAAATATAATTAGAATGGAAATTTGCTATATTTATATAAAACATATTCTTTGTTTAAAACTAAATTTATAGCTGTTTTATGTGTAATATCTATTTCTCCTTCCAAACAGCTTATATCTTCTAGATTACTATTTTCACTTTTTACCTCATTATCTTAGAATAATCATTATTATCAAAAGGAAAAAATATTCTACAC